ATTATTCGCACTAGCGAGCATAGTTGGTAGAGATTCTGACAACACTTGGCTGCTCTTATCAGATTGAAACTCTTACGAACAACTCAAACTTTGCTTTGCAGAATGTAGCTGGGAAGATCGTCCTGGTACTTATGCTACTTCTCTCCTCCATTGGACCCGTTAGCGTAGGGCTAGCTACGCTATGGTCTAGCGGCTTATTCAGCTACGTGAACAAAGGTCCAAGTCAATCTGGAGCTCGATTTGGTCAAATAGCAAATGCTTCTCGTGTGAATGTAAGTTCAAGATTCTGTTACACTGCATTTTATGGCCAAAAGTTCTTCTCTCAGGCTTGCTCCATCGCGATTCTCATCGTCGTGCCTCTATTGGTGTTTACTATCTTCGCTGTGTTCGACCTGCCTATGAACAGCTACTCGATACCGTTATTCTTGGGTGGAGCTTTTGTGCCGATTTTGAACGCACATTTCATCATCTTTAACATTCGCACATTCCGAAGAGCACTCCCTGCATTGCTCACCTTCAAGCCGAAGTCAGTGGGAACCTTATCTCATGTCAGTTCTGATCACTGAGCTCTTCATCCTCTAGAAAATTTTGTTGTTTTTATGATTTGTTGTTGCTCTCGCCTTTTGAGGGATTGTTGTCCTAGTGCTGTATGATCTAAAAGTTCGTAATATTACAATACAGTTGTTGTAGATCTTTGCAAATACAGATGAAATGCCTGAAGTTTATAGATCCGAGAAAGTGCAAACAATCAAGCTCTCTCCTCTTTATTTGTCGTTACAGAAAAAAAGCAATGAGGAGGTCTACTCTGAAAAAATATCAAAGCTTTAAGTAACATAAAAAAAGGGAACCACGCGTTCACACAATTAAAGTTAGAGGGACAGGTACTTCAATAAGCTGTTGGACCGCTTTTTAAAATTTCGACTTTGTTTCGATACGGGTGAATCATTCTGCCCACAACTCTCATCAGCCATTTTATAATTTGTTGGGTTAGGAAAGGTATGTCGCACCATTTTCGAGATTCGTAACTTTTTTGGATTATCCACTTGAAATGAATTTTGTTGAACAGGGATTAACCTCTTTCCGTTACTATGAAGCTATCGAGAGAAATGCCAGAGATACAAGCAGTCAAAGAGAAATACTTGTTTGGCATTTCAGTAAGGTCTTCGGAAAATATCAGACGTCAGAATGGAACCAAAAAATTTCTACATATTCTATATAGTTTAACTTTGTTGTGTAGTGCAGTGGTAGACTCAGATTCGTTATAACCGAACGAAAGTGGATATTTGGCTGCCCCTGTAATTCATCAATTCACTCATTGTCAAATTCATTAGAAAAACAGTCAATGAACATTAATTAACCAAATGGTTTCTGGATTATCAGTAACTATCTGCCATTAGGAAGGTTTTAATTTTCTGTGGAATCAGTCCGGGCGTTTTTTTTTTCAGCAGATCTTGAAGAACTGACCAAGTACAGAAAAACAGCAAAATTCGGCTTCCGAGAGATCCAGCGAATCTAAGTCTTTGCAAGTCACCACTTATATAGATTATGCACAGTTTTAGGTCCATTCTGCCGTCTTTTATATTTTACAGACCTTGCTGCTAAGCTCAAAAACTCTCTTCTTGTTTGCTTGTATCCTATTGCACTTTACAGAAGGTTATAAAAAGGTAATGGATTTGAAGAAGATGGTTTTCCCCATTCGACACAATTAGAATCATTTCCAATTGATGAAGCAAGAAGTTACGGTTTTCTAGAAAAGTGCAGCAGAACTTCCGTTTCAGCTCAAATAAAGAGCTGCCAGCCAAGCGTAAGATACTGAGTTGCACTTTGTAAGATTAGAAACAATTTGAGCACGGTATCCACTGTGAAACTGAATATTACGGAGTAAACTGAGGCATTATAATTACCCTGAGTTCTGAAAATGATGCACAGCTTGTGGTGTTGATACCTCCACCATGTGCATGGCATCATCAAACCTTCGCGAAGTCAGCGCCATATCATAATTTGCAGCATGAAAAGGGTACTAATGAGAGCTAGCCACCTATATTAGCAAGTCAAGTGGAAAGCAGAAGAAGTGGGGCTTATTTGGAGATTGCTACAGCAGATCATTATTACTCGAACTTTCACATCATATAGGCCAGATTGGAGATATCAACTTTATATACAACATTCCTTAAGACTGCAGCGTGACTCCTGACTAGGTGAGAAATTATTTAGGAGTGATGATAAAGTACCCCCTCCCCCCTCCATCTTCCATTTGACAGAAAATCGAGGAGAAGAAATTTCTTCGCAGTGGAAAGTGTTTAAAAGAGATTGTTTGTTGAATTCAGGTTAGCTAAAAAATTATAATCGTTTTCGCATGCGAAACTCCATATAAACATCTCTTGTTGTTTCCATCCATGACCTTCTAGGTAGAAAGTAGTTTAAAACTCCTACTATCACATACAAAATATTCAGATTTTATTGATAAAGGACACTTATGGCCCAATATGGCTATCCAAAAGCTCACTTCTTTGACTTTCTAAGCTTCGTTTTCGTGCTGTGATGGAGGTAGAGATGAGCAGCTCAAAATTGAGCGGATACAAGTTTTCTCTGCGAGTAACAATAAAAGCTGTGATTTGCCATTTTAAAAATCTCCAGTCAAAAAGGCGAGATTTTCTCACATTTCGCACGTTGAGAAAAATGGGTATTTCACTTGTCTGAGCTTTTT